TCCTGAACATCGCCAAATATGTGTTGAAGTTTCCAAAATCGCCTAGACCTGGTCATTTTGTGTTGTGCTTTTTTTGTGCTTTTGTTTGTGGTGACTGTTACAGGGCCGGGGAGACACCCAATGAATCCCCACCTGGAACTCTCAACTCATGCTCTTCAACCCCTATAGTCCCTCTTAAGTAGATAGATTAGGGGATATACGGGGATCTTATTCTAATATACCCAAAGCCGTATTCTATCTACTTAGGGAGGACTATAGCCCTTGGCCTTAAATGGTAGTTTTCCAAAAGAGGGGCACCCGAATATGGAGCCCAGTATATTGTGATCCTCATTAAAGGGGGGACCCCTGATTTTGGAATCTCCCATCCTGAGCCGCAAGCCCTTAAACCCCTAAACAAAACCTAGCATCCGAAGCCCTGAACCCAAGACCGAACCGAGACGCGGCGTGAACGATGAGCTGCAATTGACAGTCAAGCGTGTGGCTGCGGAATCCTGGCTAGCAGCAGAGTTTCGCAGGACAAGAATTCAGGTTCAGGTTTGGTTTAGGGCCACGGGTTTAGGGATGAGGGGTACAGTAGTACCTAGTACCTAGAGACCTCAGCGATGTCTTCAGATGACAAGGGAATTCTTTGGTGATTCTTTGAGAAACTTCTGCCAGTGTGCACGTTTTGGTGTCATTTGCTCGGAGAAGTAGAGGTTGATCGCTTGAGGGCTTTGTTTTTACGACTTCGGGATAAGGGTTTAGGGTTTAGGGTGGGTTGAGGGTATTTATCAGTGATTCGGGTTGAACTTTTTGGGTCTCTTACCTAGCATCTCTGAGGCAAGTGCTATGAGTATGTCAATCTTCTCGTGTGCTGACAGCCTCTAACCGACATGTACCTAATGTGTTGTAGAAGCATATTACAGGCCTCAGAGTAAGATAATGTAGTTGTTTTGGTTGGGTTCTTTTGTAACAGGAATATATGGTTGCTTGGATCAAGAAAACGGCCAAACCCTTATCCCTAAAACTCATATCCCTTTCTTCACCTCTTGAAGGGACCCTGTGACAACATGTGCAACTGGATGAAGTTCCGTCTAAGGCAGAGGCCCGCCGACAACTGCAG